AGGCATTACCAACAGATCGACGAACCATTAAACCACACACATCCGCATTTCCTATCTGTATTACCTATCTGCATTCCTCTTCTTGGTATTACTCACTAGTTGCATAGTCTTCATATACATTCACAACTACTATAAATGACATTACATCTTTTGAAAATAGATACTATAATAACTGTGATAACATCAAACTGAAATTAGCTTTTCAAATAATTTGTTTAACTCAAAATAAATTGTATGTATGAATAAATTGTAATATACAACTTGTCACAAAACCAGCAAGTTACTTCCTGAAATTAGAGCTGATTGGTTCTCAAGATTAGTGAAACATGTCTCAACTGATGTCTGACAAATTAGGTGTAGTGTATGTATTGCCTTTTTTCAGATAGTGACAGTTCTGCATATAATTTGTAGTTGTAAGCGTTAAGCACGGTTGATCTTAATCTAGCTCTGACTGCCCACTCTTGCAGGACTCATCAAGTGTGAAGAAAGCAATTTCTGAAGAAACTGCGGCGTGAATGCAGGATGTTGAAAAGTTGATGTTAAATTGAATTGCTGCCTTTAATTTGTATGAAGAAACAGCTGAAGGATGAAGAACTGAATAAGTGGGAAAGGGTCTAATTATAAGTGCGAATGATATTTAAACGTTGAATAAAACTCATTGTATGGAAGATGTAGAACATAAAAAGGCTTAAATGAAGTTTCTGAATGAATAGATAAAAGCTGTATAAAGTGTATAGATAGATACAGATTCTGACATGCAAATAAAAATAGCATACAAAAATTTTTAAAAAAAATCTAATAAATTATATAAAAGAAACACTAAAGAAATACAAAAGGAAAACTTAATTATAGTAACAAAAACTATATACAACTAATATATACTATATGTGTAATATCAGTTTAATATAATGCAAATAGAAAGACTTATAGTGAGGTAGTGGTATGGTTAAACCGCCATTACAGAAGTTCTGCAAAAGCAGTACGCCCTTCATGTTGCACTAGCTCCTTCACTACCTTGTTCCATATATAGCCTACTGACTTAGCCTACAGAGGGGATTACTCACTGCTGTTAGCAGCGCCCTGTCCGTTTAGCAATAGTTGGAGCCTGTTATGTACATATCCATCCCCTCCCCACCCCTGAGCCCTTGATCCCTGGGCTAATTCCATGAATCGTCCAAATCTAAATCCACTGATGGAGCAAAGGCACACACAGTTGGGACCAGGCAGAGAGAGGCATGGCCACAAACAGAATGGATGGGGAAGACAGAAAAAGAGATCATATCAAAACATGCAAAATGTCTACTTGTCCAGTTTATGAGCAGCTATGCTTCTCCTGAGTCAATTTTACTGCCATCAACACGTGCCATCTGTGTGCCCTTTATATGTTTTATTACAGATGCAACAGCAACCCTGTGTGCCAACTCATCAGAGGGGACTGTCAAGCCTGGCTGACGTCACTCATTCAGCCTCTGTAATCGAAAGAGACGCTAATCCTGCTCCTCTCCAAAGCCTGGCAGTGGGGTGGGGTGGGACAGGGAGGGATATTGAGAGAGACATGAGGAAGGAAGTTGGATACGGGAGACACGGGAGCGGCTTTGGGGCAGCAGACAGACTCAGCCCTGATTTGGACAAGTGAGACAGGTTGCTGTCCTAACTGACAAAGAAAACCAGGCACACATCCACCTCCTGATCTAAAATCACTGGACACCTGAGGGCTTGGGAGCCCCCCATCCAGGCTTCGCCCTGGAGGCCAAAAGCCTCGCTGAGGGCTCTGCGGAGGGGGAATGCTGCAGGAGCTGCTCACCTCCTGCTGCACCCCCTCTCGTGTCACCTGTACTCACTGCAGAGGAGCCGGGCTTCACCACTGTGGAGCTGTGCCAAGATGGAGAAGACATTTGCTTGAATGCATGCGAGGGGTAAGAGGCTGCTGGAGTTTATGTGTGTGTGTATTTCAGTTACAAATATCATTCACACTAACAAAAACAGTGGGGGGTTGTTTTTATGCTCAATTTCCCCTCACATCCTCTGCATGCTCCTAAACTGACACCAAAAGTTCACACTAGATGTAGATAGTATATTGTGTGAATGTTCATGGTGTGTGGAATTGACACATATGAGAGTCCCTATCAATGTGGAAAAAATGTAGTTGATAAAACCCGTTGTGATGGAACTGTAGATGCTCACATTTCTTCTGAACACTTTTTTTAAAATCTATGTCAACTTAAAAATGAATTAAAAGTAGCTGCTCTGCAGCTTGTTTCTATCAATAGTACTAACAAGATAACGAATGATTACTGGAATGTCCTACAAAAGGTTTAGACTGTTAAATCCTCATTTGAGCAATGCACGGTAAAGAGACTGCATGAATGGACTGAAACAGAAATAGACTGTTTATAAAATATATATTACAGATTCAGTGATTTACAGAAACCAACTCTGGCACAGGCTCATAGACATACGTGGTCATATGGGTCAGTGCATTTACGTGTTTTTATGTGTCACAGACAGAACACTGAGGATAAAATGTGAGACAATAACAAGAAAACATGAAAACGGCCTAAGGGTCAATGCAAGTGGGAAATGAGACACATAAAAAGTGCATTAACAGGAGTTGTATAGTAGTTGTATAGTTAGTATGTAGTTGTATGTGTGAGTGTGTGTTAAAAGATGTGGATGGCCTGTATTATGTAAAGGGTTGGAGGAAGACACACAGAGAGAAAAAAAGAGAAAGAATAACTATAAAGCAAGAAGTGACAATAGGGATCTGCCAAGTCACTGTGTTAAAGTGGTCACCAACTTTAGGACTGTTTGCTGTGTGGCTGTATAGTGATGAACCCAATGATAAGCCTATTTGTTAAAAGGGTTCTTTAACTGTGGGCATATGTTTGAATCAGGCAATCTCCGGTGTAACTTCTCTAAACCAAACTTCTTCCGCATTATTTCATCCATTGCACAAAAACAGCATCCTGGCAGTAGTACTGGAATGAGACAGTGATAAGCAAAATGTTTCTGTGATGGAAACCAGACAAGAAATGGTTACCACTTAGTGGTTTATCAACACAAATATCATCACTTTCCAACCTGTCACAGTTTCCTCTTCCTGATGACACTAGCTGTTAAGTGTGAACTCCGTTTAACCTGTAGATGCATGATGGATATGAATTTCAAAGTTCACCTGATCATTACAGAAATATGAAATCTTGTTTTTTTTTAAATCCAAAATGGTAAATATCAATGAGATGGAATAAAGCCTTTTAAAGCTCCCCATGCGGCTTGAGTATCAGTTTAACTGAACTGTTTTAATTTATTATCATTAATATCATTATTATCATTTCATTGAGTTCTATATCCTTTAATAATCTATGAATCTGCAGTACATTCCTTATTTTATTAATTCAGGGCTTTTTGAATAGATTATATAAGCAGAATCATGTGAAATGCTTCTTTACTACTTTAATTTCAAAAGAACAATAATAATAATAAATTAATAAAATGTTACTATTTGAAATAATAACACAAACAGTAAAAAAAATAATTTAAATAGTAATTTAATTAATTTAAATATAGTGAAGTGCAGTGAATAGTGTAATTTAAATTGAATTGTGTCATACTGTACGTTTGAACATGCGGTATTCAAAATACAGTACGCTGCACAAACAAAGAGTGATTGTTGACGGAACTGAAACCTGCAGGTGTTTAGAGAGAGTGTATACCAGAGGGATTACATGGAGGTTAAGCTTCTTCATCATAATAGCTGCGGAAAGTTTCCATCCCAGGTGGCACACAAACAGCTTAACATGACACAGTTGTCAGCAGCATAATATCAGAAATTGAACTGTCGGGCGGTGCACATTCACAAGTGGGTCAAAAATGACAGCATCCTCCCGAAGCTGATCCTATTTAGACGAGAACAGGGTGTCCTCGTTTTGACGGCTGTGCAAACTGGCTTAGTGTTCCTTCATTTGTCATATTATACACTGAACTTAAGCATGTTGATAGGAACAATAAGCCTGAAATCTGTCACATTAAGGTAGTCAGAAAGGAAAAATCTGATAAAATTAGTTCAAATCAATTCTGTTTAGAACTTTTGAATTCAATTTAGAGAGACAGAGACTGAAATAGATAGAGAGAGAGAGAGAGAGCGAGAGAGAGTGAGAGAGAGAGAGGACACAGGGAGAAAGACGGAAATTGAGAGAAACACACTGATGCAACTTCAAAAAAATCTTCAGTTCTGAAACTATAAATTCATCCTGTGTCTAAACGCAATGAAAAACTCTTGTTGGTGTCAGACATAAGCCATTATTATTTTAAAACCATATTTAAGACACTTTTTAATCTGAACACTTCACAGTCACTGAGGGCCTGAACCGAGACCTGCACTTCTTCAATGCTTCTCAAACTGCCAATCTCAGAGCAGACATTCACATCGGCTTGTAGACGGCCTCTGTTACGGCAGACACAAGTGTGTATTAGCATATAACCAAAATAAAGAACTGACTATAAAAGTAGGCTACTGTATATCTTAGAACAAGACTAAAAGTCCACAACCAAGCTAGCAGCTTTGTGAGTCTGCACTTTGAGCTAAATGATAACTTCAGCATGCTAACATGCTGCCTTTTACCAAGTGTAAAGTTCACCATGTTCACCATCTTGGTTTAGTGTGTTAGCATGCTAACATTTGCTAATTCACACTGTACACAAAGTACAGCTGAGGATGATGTCATTAGTTTTTAAAGTTAAGTAAAGTTATTAGGAGACATTACATACTGGAAACCGTCAATGTACAAAATTGATTGGATACTTCAGTCTGGACCAAAGTGGTTGACTGAAGAGCTATGCCGTTAGCATCACTATGACATATCTCATGTATGACATTAATTTACAAAAAGATACAGTTTAGACCTGGAATACATTATATTTCTATATTCTGTTGTGAAGCATATACTTTTACAAACAGTCATTTCTTATAACTTTGGATAGTTTTCTAGAGAGCAAAATGGTAAGACATCCTTGAGCAGGTGTGAGATTTGCTCAGTTAAATTCGTTTAAAAGCCAAAGCAAATTTGCACCATTTCTTTTTACTCAGTGTTTTTTATCACTTATCACTCTTTCAAAATATCTAATTTCCAAAGAATTCATAAGTCAGAATTATCTCCTTAGTTTGATGCAACACATGACTGGTACTGCTGTTAGCAAATACCCAAAAATACCCAACACAAGGTCTAAAAACAGAAGGACTGGAGATTAGATCTGTCTTTCAGCTGAAATTTCATTAAAGAGTAAGCAAGATTTAAAAGATTGTGTCATTACACCACGCCACCGAATGACAACAAACCATGATTGGTACTTATGGAGAGAGGACATACACTGAGGCGCAGGGAGAAAAGGAGAGAGGGATAAAAAGAGGATTCGGACAGATCCTCAGCCAGTCTTAATCCCCTGTCGGCTTTTCTGGAGACCATAAACAGATTGACGTTGGATGTGGACACAGACTCATGCATGTAACTAAAACAAGTGACTAGTTTACAGACACTATGGACCCAACATACTCTCACAGGATCAGGGCATGGCTAAAAGGCGCCTGCTTCTGAGGCTCTGACAGAGCAAAAACAGCACATATGTTCTGACATGCTGCCTGTCAGAAAATAAAATATGAGCATCAGAGGTCATAATCCATTTTGGTATAAAACCCTGCTGAGTACTGCACTAATCTGAGAGTGTTTGTTCAGTGTGTGTGTGAGAAGATTCACACACTCACACATAGTCACATAATTCACATAGTCTGACCAGCTTTAGTAAATCAGATGTAGGACACAAAATCTCTGACCTATCAGAAGCCTGGGATGTTGGATACCAATATACTAGTGTAATTCAGTCATGACACTGGGGCATGAGGGGGGAGTGATGTTATTTAATAGAAAACCGGATGAAGTGATTTTATCCAGTGCCACTGAATGTCCAACTGTGGACATGTGAGTCAGATAGACATGTAAGAATGAAAGTAACAAGGGCATGTAAGCAGTCAGTGGATATTTCCTCATAGCAAACACCATCCATCTAACATTCAAGGATACGCATAGGTGCAAATAGTATATTGGTGTAGAAGATGTTCAAATGATCATTTAGAGAGAGTTTAAAGAGAATCACTGGAGTAAGATCTTTCATGGAGTGGCTTTGTTTCCAAACCAAAGACCCCTCCTTTTAAATGGATTCTAAATAACTTTCTTTGGAGTTTCTACTGCTGCAGTAAAATGTATTTCTTTCTGAACAGGGTTTCTATAAGTTTCTGCAGAGATTCTACAGGGATAGGCCAACCATGGGAGTTTTTGATTTTAACGAGGGTTCTAAAGTATTCTAAAGTCAAAGTAATTATTAAAGTTATTAATTACTATAATTAAAAAAGAAAGAATTATAAAGATTCAAGGTCCAATGTAATACTAGAGTTCTACAAAACTTGCTCTATTGGGATTATTGGGGTTCTATAGTATTAAATGGGTTTCTACACATAGAAAAAAAGGATTAAAATACCCAAAAGGGATTTCTTACAGGCTTCAGATTTGCAAAGGGTAAAGAAGGCCCTTGTCTTTACAGTGTATGTTTGTTTCTAGTCTCATTATGGCTTTATTTACTCTGCAGAGAGATGGAGGAGATGAGTGGTCAAGATCCAAACTGTGAAGACATGCAAAGGAAGGACCAAAGATTGCCATTCCAGGTATTTTCATCATACTGTGACCAGACTTGTACACTGAAGTATTTTGCTGTAAACTAAACTTTTTTTCTGTGTGACTCTTCTGCTGAATTTTCAGTCAGCTGCCCCTCCTTTCCTCCAGATCTTCCCTGACCCTGTTGAGGTTGTCCTGGGCCCAGAGACCACCTTAAACAGCCTGGACCACAACCGCGAGAAGGAGCGTCTACCCTCCATCGTTGTGGAACCCACGGAGTTGAGCGAGGTGGAAAGTGGAGAGCTGCGCTGGCCGCCAGAGAACATGGACATGGAGGAAGACGAGGAGGACCTGTTCTTGGAGCAATGCATCCCCCCAGCCAACATTGCAGACTGGGGAGAAGAGGAGGAGGAAGAGGAGACGTCGGTTATACTGAACCAACAGCAAGGCTTGACACTCATCGGTGAGCTGGACATGTTATCATACTCTCATCTGCTTTAAATTTCCTCTTGGATCTCCTTGGATGCCTTTAGTGTGGTAGAACATGTAAACTTTCAATGGCACATGTCTTCAGAAGAACTCCAGCTGCTGTAACAGACCTGTGAACAGTTACTTTTTGTTTTCTACCCTATTATAAGAAAATACATATTTTCAATTCAATTCAATTC